TTGTATCTGTATCAGGGTGATCCAATCCAGTGTTGCTTTGAGAAAACAGCACAAAAGTAAGATGGATTATCTGATCTTGGACAGCAAAATATAGGATTTCCAAATCTGAATCATTCTGACCAAATGGAACAACTGGGCCCTGGACTTGATGGCATTCCTGGCCAAGCTCTATAGGTCAACTGCTTTTCTGTAATTGTTGTGCACATTACAATCAAGAACTTGACATGGCTAATATATAATTATGCAGTTTTTAGTTTGTTGCTATGGAATACTCATGACTTGGCTTGGGAATCGAAGGGTTGCCAGTTCAAGTCCTCCTACGGACCAAGTATATAGCATGCAGTGGTCTTTCAAACAGGGGAAGCTCACTTTAAGTTTACATCATAAAATTTGTCATACTGTAGCGAGGCAGTAACTTATAAAAGGAACATTTAATTGAAGTCGTTTTTCAACCACACACATGACATAAAGTCACAGCAAAACTCACCTCAAAGATTTTCAGATAAGTTTAAACACCTGAACTGTGTCTACAAACGGTGAAAATGAGCTATATCGCTTATGGAAATAAGGAACTCCAGACGGCATTCTGTCAGAAAACTCCACACATGGGACTGATCTTGAAATGCGAAGTGCTGTCTTTCACAAAAGGGTTCAGCCTTTTAGACAATTCCTCCAATCATCATGCATACACTGAGCATCCTCTCCCACCTACCACTCCATTAGGTACCAGAGAAGCTAAGCCTCACTAGAAGTGACAATTTTGTCACATTTATCCAATGACCGTCTCACTTTGCTGCATGAAAAAAACCTGCTCATCGCTGCTGCGCTGTCTCATAGGAATGCTTGGAGGCTCCGCGTCCACCGTGCTATCTTATGGGAATAGAGCAAGTCCTTGAATTTTTTCACAACACATTCCTGGAGATGTTTCATAATAATAGCCTTGTTTTTAAAACAACACATGCTGTCTACTGACATGCTACAGAGCTTTTCATATGAAATGGATATAGGAAGTAATGAGTATACTGTATACTCTGTATTTTAGTTCCTCCCTCTTTTGGACATCATGCTTAAAGTGTTAATTTTGTTGACAAAATAGACGAGACATGACGAGAATGTTAATGGTGGACCATTGGACACTGTAAACCAAGAACGGCTGCACTTGTAGTCATCTTCAAATGCTGCATGAGCGACAGCCTGGTAAACTCCTGTAAATAGTCTGCACCAAGATGTTTTGCTCGCCAGCAAAACCATGTGTGTCTGACTATGAATTGTGGAGCTGCTGAATGGATTTCTGGTGTTTGTTAGATGCAGTGGTGGCTGTTAGCAGTTAGCTCTGCTTGTTGTGTCTACTTTAAAGTTAAAAAAAAAAAAAAAAAAAAAAACATAGAAAAAATAACAACGAAAGTTGACTAAAACGAATCAACATTTTCGTCTCAAGACTAAGAGTAATCTAAAATAGCTGTCAAAATTAACACTGCATGCACATCAGGTGTAATTTTGTTATGTCACATTTACAGCCATGATTCTCTCTGACCCCTGTGTTGTCGCTCACCTGTCATAGTCTCCATTACAGAGTGCTCTAACAGGGATGGTAAATGGCTGCCAAACGGGGTTCAGATTGTTCTTGATCACCTCAGTCTTGTGGCAGATGGTGAACCTGGAGACACAAAGAGGCAGCTCAACATTTAAACTTTTTGTTCAGGTTGATGGGAGCTGGGATTGGTCAGTAAATCTGGCTTTTATTTATTTATTTTTCTTTATTTTGTAATGCAAGGATAACAGAGTAAGTGGAGACAGGTGTAAAGACATATAGACAGTTAAGATTGTTATTACCTATGCAACAGGCTGGCACCAGAGCCATTGGGAAGAGCACCCCACTAAAGACAGGTAAATCTGGCTTTCAAAGGTTTTTACAGTGGTTTCATCTCCACCTCCTGTAGTATGTCCTTCCTTCCTTCCTTCCTTCATTCCTTCCTTCCTTCATTCATTCATTCTTTTATTCATTCATTTTCCGCAACCATCCTGTTCAGAGTGTAAGATGTAAATTTTGCCTAATTAAAGAATATGTTGTGTATGTGTCTATTACACGCTCCCTGGGTGAGTATTCAAAGGCAGCTAATTCAGACATGCACAGTCTCTTGAAATACATTCTAAATGGAACAAATCTTCAGCATGAGGGCAGAAAATGAACAGGTTCACAGAAGGGTTTTGATCCTGAACTGTGTCTGAAATATTGAAGGATCCAGTACAGATTAGAACTTTCTGTCTCAGTGTCAAGAAAATCTATTAGCCCTTCTTCCATCTGACAAACAGGAAGCTTTCAAACTCCTCATGGGACCAGCTCCAACAGAGAAATCTGCTGGCAGATTTTCAGTCACTGTCAGTAACTAGGGTAGAGTAGGCACACTCGCCTCAACTGAACGACAGATGGACTGTACTGTAATGTAATTACCATAACTTAAGAAACACACACACAACTAACAAAAACACACACTTACGTCCCATCCTCGTTGCTCCGGTAGAAGACAAGGAAAGGGTCAGACTTGCCAAAGAAATCCTTTTTATCCAGCTTGTTGGCACAGAGCTGCATGGTGGCTATGTCCTGGGAGAACAACAACAGTTCATTATTTACATGGCCTTGTTTGTGTTCAGACTTACAGCTGGACTTTAAATTAAACACCATTCAGTCATTAATTCACTTGGACCTGATACCCTACCCACGCCCACAAAAACACTGTGATCTGTTTAGAATAGAAAATCCACAACTTAAGACTCAAGGCTGTTTTTAGCTAAGACTCAATGGAAGATTTGACCAGCAGGACCTAAGACCTGATTCTTGTCAGGTATACCTACTATGGCTAAAACTAGATTGTATTAGTATGAGTTGAACCTACAAAAACTAAGTGTACTTTATTGATGGAAAGTAACTGACTACACTCACTTTCAGAGGTGGGTAGTAGCTAGTTACATTTACTCAGTTACATTTACTTGAGTAACTTTTTGGATAAATTGTACTTTTCAGAGTAGTTTTAATGCAAAATACTCTTACTACTCTACCCACCTCTGAGTACATAATTACATATATATATATGTACAGTATATATAAGAATATACTTGTGTTTCTTGTGTCTTGATTTATGTTATGTTTGTAAAGATTTAATTTATCTTTGTTTTAGTTAAAGGGGTATCGTTTAAAATACATGAATTTGCAGATTATTATTTTTGATTGATTTATTACGTTCATGTTCTTATTTTACAAATAAATCAGACGTTACTCAACAGTTACTCAGTACTTGAGTAGTTTTTTCACCAAATACTCTTTTACTCTTACTCAAGTAATTATTTGGATGACTACTTTTTACTTTTACTTGAGTAATATTGTTCTAAAGTATCAGTACTCTTACTTGAGTACAATATTTGGCTACTCTACCCACCTCTGCTCACTTTAGTATCCTACTTCTACTCCACCACATTTCTAAGGGAAGTATTGTACTTTTTCCTTTTATTTGACAGCTGTAGTTACTTTTCAGATAAAGAATTACATGATGTTGCTGATATGACTCAGCTTATAAAATAAAGCACATTGTTAAAGAACAAAGCAGTGGCTCCCACTTTCTTTGGCCTGTGACTCCCTACAAAAAATGCACTGTGCTTTCTGTCTTTAAGTGGATTTTAAGCAAACTTTGTAATGTTGTAACAGAGAAATGTACTTGGTTTGGAGTCAGTAAACTGCGCTGCACAAAGCGTAGTTTAGTCAGAAGTTGGTGGTATAGGCTATGCTTTACGTATGGCTGTAATCTACCAGTAAATAGGAGAAGAAGTTGCTGGGAAACTTGGTTGGTTGTTAAAGTTGCCTTGGCTTTCTAACCTTTCTACGACAGAGAAACATGGAGAGATCTTCAGGTTTCAAGTTTTAATTGTTTTTTCATGTCAGCTCTATTGGCTATGTTCCATGCTGTCTGGAAATGAAGTCACAAAATGCAGTGATTCTGTAAGCTATTTTGTTGAGTTGCCTCTTAGTGAGGTGCTCTGAGTAAATTTAAATGGGGCTTTTATTGTGAAAGGTAAAGGCAGAAGGGGTGAAGCTGTGATGTGGTAATGTGTAAAGTAACTAAGTGCATTTTGGTCTTGGTTCATGCTGGTTCAGACTACGGAGCCTACATGTTTTTAGTGAATTATCTGCATATGTGTACGCACAACTATAACCCGCAGCTACAGTTTGAATTCACAGAAAGGCGCCAACAGCAGAAACAGCCAAACAGTCATATGAGTTAAATAGTTGCAATGTCAAAATGTATTTGGCAAAGACATTTTCATAGCCCATTTAGCTCATCAACTCTTTTTAGACAAAGGCAAAAAAACAACAAGCAAATGTAATTTCATTTCATTTCATTTTATTTTATTTTGCACAATTAAGGCAGTGTTATCAGATTTAGTCATTTCCATATAACCTTTCAAAAGTAGTTCTTCAAAATGCGCATAAAAATACATTCATGGAAATGCATGGCTTATGAGACATTAGCAGTTTCCCTCTAAGCATTGTTTATACCGCTTTAACACTTGAAAGTTTCTGCTTTTTGTTCTTTATAAACGTTTATTATTCATCTGACGACAACTCAGATTTATCTGGTGACCCTTTGAAGGGCCTGACACCAGGGTTGGTAACCACTGCACTAAACTACAGTGTATAAAAGAAAAAATGGCTCAACACTGAGCAGCTACAACAGTAGAATGCTTCTTATTATGCACTAATTCATCAGTGTTATCTAATCATGTAATAAACGTCGTTCACAGGGACATTGCTTTGTGAATACTGTATATAACTTTCAATACTTTATTACATTTTGCTGACAAAATGTCTGGGGCCAAAGACGACATTATAGAATTGTTTTCACACACTGAGTATTACTCTTCTGGTTGAGTTACCTGATCTTGATGTAAAATTGATCAGAGCCTCTTTCTTAAACTAATGGGAAAAAAACAAGGCAGCAATACTTAAGCCGCATGCTATGTATGCAGTGAGACACAATTTAAACTAACATAACTTTGAGTTTAATAAACAGTATGGTGAAAGAAAAAGACAATATTTTAACTCAGCCTGTCTTGCCTCGTTTGGTAAGTGGTCTAGTATATTTCCAATAATGCACTCTGACGAGTCCCAATAAACATAGTTGATCACTTTATCGCTTATTTTACCTTGCATCAATTTGATGCTGCTGACCTTTCCAAAAGCTCATGTCTAGGGTTTATATCTGCCTAAAAACATAAATATAAATGAAAACTGTGTTTAGGCAGGTTTTCTTATTCCCTAACACACCCTCTATGAATAGGTTTTCAAGCAACATCATCATGAGATAAACACAAGCAGGAGATCTAAAACACCTGTTTTAAGATAAGAAAATGCTGTTATTTAGTATTTATCAGGTTTGCTGACTCTCACACCTTGACCATGAAAGTCATGCAGTTGACACTTCTCACACACTCTTACGGCATACGTCCATTTTCTTATGCAATGAAAGCTAACTTGTAACTGAAATCACAGCATGTGCTCATTACCAGACCTTCATATACCAATGCTTGTTATGCCTCTTGGCACGAACACTGAAGGCACCCTTTGCCGTATATTCGATGCTGAGAGCAAATGACACAGTAGAAAGTCAATTTAGGGAGGTGAGGAGGAGAGGAGAGGAGGTGGATGGGTCAAACAAGCAGACTTTCACCCAGGATATCACTGTACATGTCCTGTGTGAAACCAAAAGTTACCAACTTTAGTTTACCAACTTTAGTTACCAATTTCAAGGATAACGGTGACCGGCCGCGTATCATGCTGATATAAAAGGAGAGTGCTGCCCTGTTTGATAATGTTGCTGTTTGAAAAGACACTGACAGCCCATGGAAAGATAACAGTGCAACAGCAGCACTGTACAACACTGCAGTCAAGCTAGCTGCCACTTCGATTTTGATGCCCATCTATTCATGGTGTTAGGGTACTGGTATGTGACGTGGCCAAAGAGCACAGTAAAAGCATTTGAGCAATCATTTCTCACATCAGTATTAAGTTTGAATATGATATAACAGTTGCCACAATAGGTTTGCTGGGAAGCACAGATGATTTCTGCTCAAACCGTTTCAGAAGTAGTTTCAGCTGAAATGATTTTGTAACGCATTGAAAACGTCCTGATTTGTAAACTCTCATATAAATAAATACATATTTTTCTTATCAGGTTAGCTGAAATTTTCAGTGTAATCTTAATGACGCTGACTATGACCATGTGCAATGGAATGTTATTTTGATGGAAGGTTTTGATAAAATTAAGGGGAAATTTAGAGCAATTTACATATTAACATTAATAATTTCCTCATATTTGAACTGTCATAAAATAAAATCCTCAAAGGGTTTTCTAATTAAGTCCTCAGAATGACCCTGACTATAATCATGTCAAATTTTTATTGTACAGTTTTTTTGTTTTTGTTTTAAAGAAAATTAAAGGAAAATTTACCTCAAAATACATTATAACACAAAGAAAATGTACTTATGTGAACTCTCATAAATTATTTTCCTTTGAGGGTTTACTGACATTTTTAATGTAATCTTGTTCAGGATGACCCTGATTATGACCCCGTCAAATCTGAATTAATTTTACTATCTCAGTCTAAACCAAATTGAACAGTTGGCAGCCCTGTGTATATAGCTGTTAAAAACACTTAAGTTTATCAGGCTCTATGATCAGTATTTTTCAGGTTGACATGGGTTTAGAGTTTCACTGTATGACCCAGTGACAGCTGATAGAGGAAAAAAAAACACGTACACAGTTCAGTTTTTTTCAGTTTCTTGTGAGTGAAGTTTTACCTGTACACACTGTAGGCAATTTTTTCACTAGAGTGAGACATCTAATGTCTGACACATCGGGTTGCTATTAAAACCTGTGATAGAACTGATCTATTAGAATAAATGGGACCACGGGTGTTTTTCCAGACACACGCATTTGGGCAGGGAAGCCAGGGACCTTATGAACCATAACTAATAAAACTGAATGTAAATTCTGAGATCTGAGGCCCTCAAGGACTCTGTATTATAACATCATCACTGCTATATAGTCTGCAGTGTGACTTAAAGCTTCCTCATATTCATATGCATGATGAGCAGTGAAGATGTTTGAACTTAATTCTGTGCATACGTTACAGCAAACTGCTTCCTCAGTATTCAAATCATTAGTACCATGCACGCAATTGCATATGTTTGCATGTAATAGCTCATACTGTAATACGACAGCAAGCATGTTTTGTGTGTGGTGTGTGTGTGCTTGCATGTGCTTCTGTCTTTGATTGGAGTGTCTAATTATTTACTCAATGTGGCAAGAAAAGTAAACTATAAGACTGCATAAATAATTCATGAGCGCCTCTCATCATTACTTTGAAGAAAAGGTGAAAATTCACTTTCCTCCACTTGATGCAGATGACAAAATTACTCTGGGGTCATTGAAATTCACTCGGCAAAGTTAAAAATTGAAACACAGAACGTGTCATGAATTCAGACTGCAGTGCTTAATTTTTGGCCCCTGTCTCGGACTGTTTATATCACAGTGTGTGTGTACATCTCAGACACAGTGTCCTGAGTGTAATCTGATACCAACCCGGCAGTTACTGAGCTCCTCGGCTGTGAAGATGATAGTTCCACACTTCTTCCCAGGAATCCCACTGAAAGAGAGAGAGAAAGAGAGAGCGAGAGAAAGAAAAAGAAAGAGAGAGAGGGAGAGAGAGAGAGAGAGAGAGAGCATGGAGTTAAAAAAACTTGTCATGCAGGTATTTGTGGTTGTAGACGCTGCTAAAGGAACTGGTAGTGGTAATTTTTCCCTCCAAACAAGCATACTTTATATTTGATATTGATATCTACAAATGGAATAATAGTTAACTAGAATTAATGCCCCGTGGTTGTAGGCCTTCATGCACCAGTCAAGTTTCTCTTACAGTTTATATTAGGCCTTAAGGTGAACACAGTTATCGTTTCATCTCGTTCCGACATCTGGGGACTACACGATCTTTACTTCATAAAAAAGATGGATACATGTTCAGCTAATCAGCGGGAGTTCGTAGCTCATAACCCCGCAAGAGTCCTGTGATCGGGGTCGTAATTCGGCACTTGTTCCGTCTGAGCGTAATGATCAGTTCCGCCTGAGCGTAATGAGATTTGGTACGCGAGTGGTGGCACGGCCATCACGTGATCACGCTACACCAATAAGGTACCCGCATTTCGTGTCGCCATGGTTTCACTCAGCAGAGGAAAACAGACCCGGAAGTCCTCAAAAGCGAGCAGAAATGAGCTGAAACAGCGCTATTCACATCGCCGTGTCCATGAAACAAGATGAGACAAATAGACAATAAGGTGAACTAAGCAAAAATGTCTTAAATCACATTTGATTCAATACCTGGGCATAACCGACGTATTATTACATTGACAACATAGCTACTGAAGACGAGAACGGCCATGTATTTTTTCTTTTTTTGTGTGCACTGTTATCTCGTGATAACGACTTATTATTTCGTTATCTCGATATAACAAAGATTGTTTTCCCGTGATAATTGTCAAGTCTGATGATTGCGCACTGGTTAATGTGATCGTCTTGATTTCAGCCTACAAGAGCTGCCGTGGTCCTGCTAGATGCCTCCTGCTGCTTGCTGTTATCATTAGTCACACTTCTACTGTTATTATACACATATGATTACTGTCACATACCGTAGGCTATATTTCCAAATAGTTGCCCGGTGGCATACAGCCGCGGGGCACCTAATAGCCACTGGGGGTTTAACCCCATTTTGCGTATTAAACGCAGGGGCGATTATTTCCTCATTCATTGCCTCAAGGAGGGACAGCCCTGTAGGCAGGGAGAGAACAGCTCTCTGTTATCACGAGATAACAGTGCACACAAAAAAAGAAAAAATACATGGCCGTTCTCGTCTTCAGTAGCTATGTTGTCAATGTAATAATACGTCAGTTATGCCCAGGTATTGAATCAAATGTGATTTAAGACATTTTTGCTTAGTTCACCTTATTGTCTATTTGTCTCATCTTGTTTCATGGACACGGCGATGTGAATAGCGCTGTTTCAGCTCATTTCTGCTCGCTTTTGAGGACTTCCGGGTCTGTTTTCCTCTGCTGAGTGAAACCATGGCGACACGAAATGCGGGTACCTTATTGGTGTAGCGTGATCACGTGAACTAAGTAGTTCATCGTTGAGTCTAAGTGGACATTTGTATCAATTTTGATGAAATTCCCTTGAGGTGTTCTTGAGATATCGTGCATGGGAATGCACAGACAGACAATGGGACGGACAGACAGGCGGATGGACATAAGGACAGACAGACATGACAAACAGAAATGATTAACAATGTGTTGCTCCCACTTTCAATGTTAAAGCTTTTACATTAAGTAAAGTCTGTACAGAAAACTATGGGCAACAATGTTTGTTGACAAACAGTTTGTCTAAACAAAATGATACCAAAACTTAATAAAAAGTGACCTTTACGATCAAAATCAATCAATCAAAAACCACAACAAAATGTATTTTTGTCAACAAATACAACCTAAATGACAACATCAAAGACGGATGATTGGGGACCTCAGAACTGCATCTCTGCTCTTTGCAGATGACGTGGTTCTGTTGGTAACATCACACTGTGAACTCCAGCATGCACTGGGGCAGTTTGCAGACAAGTGTTAAGTGGTCAGGATGAGAGTGAGCACCTCCAAATTCTGAGGCCATGGTTCTCTGCCGGAAAATGGTCAATTACACCCTCTGGGTTGGGAGACAGTTGCTGCCCCAGGGAAAGGAGTACGTGTATATTGGGATCTTGTTCATGAGTGAGGATAAAATGGAGAGTGAGATGAATCAGCGGTTTGGTGCAGCATCAAGAGTGAAGTGGGTCCCGCACTAAACCATCATGTTGAAGAGGGAGATGAGTATCTGTCTGTCCATCTATGTCCCAACCCTCACCTATGGTTATGAGCTTTGGGTAGTGACCAAAAGAATGTGACTGTAGATGAAAACAGCCAAAATGAGCTCCCTCTGGAGGCTGGCTGGGCTAAGCCCTAGAGATAGGGTGAGGAGCCCAGACATCCAGAGGGAGCTCTGAGTAGAGCCACTGCTCCTTTGCATCTAAAAGGGGCCAGTTGAGGTGGTTCAGGCATCTGATCAGGATTCCTCCTGGGCAACTTCTGTTAGAAGTTTTCCGGGCACGTCTAACTGAGAGGAGGCCCCGGGGCAGACCCAAAACACACTGGAGGGTTTATATATCTCATCTAGCCTGGGAACGCCTCAGGAATCCCCTAGAGGAGCTAGAAAGTGTTGCTGGGGAGAGGGACTTTGCTCAGCGTGCTGCCTCATGACCTGGCCCCAGATAAGTGGATGAAAATGGATGGATGGACCAATTAAGTAGTTACTGTAGTAATGCAATGTCTTATTAGAACTTAACTGAGCTGCTTGACCTGTCACCAAAGGTACCAATTGAGTGGCTGCTCAGTAGCTTTCGCACTCACTTTTGGTGTTTCCCTAAACCTAACAAAGTATATTTGTTTCCTAACCTACCCAAACCTTACCCAAACCAATTATAAACCTTATCATTTCTTCCTCGGGAAAACAGCTATAAAAGACACTGACAAATGCTGTCATCCTGCTCATAGAAGTGTCAGATCAGGAGAGCACATCGACAATCAACCAGCCTGTTCTCATTCTGAGGTCATAGAATATGGCCGCTTTGCCAGTGATTTCAGCAGCAGACACCTTATGCCAAAAGCCACCTTTCAAGGTGGTGTGATACACAGCTGAGTGGCGTCTGTAAGTAACGCTGCCAGACGTAACCTTTGATATTGTTATGATATGCTGCCAGTCGGCTGGATGGCATCTGATGCAGTGATTTAATACCTGGCTGGGTGACATCAGTACATAATGCTGCCAGTAACGACGTAATATAAGGAGCTGGAAAGTCCCTATAGGGTGGGTGTGAGGGGTGGCGAATGAGTCCAACAGACTCCAGACTTTTACTCGGAAGCCTGGTGTTGGCTTCCCTGATGCCAAACCAAGATTTTTTTTTCTAAACCTAACCATGTGCTTTTGTTGATGTCCCTGCATTGGTAGTGTGTCCTGGAACGTCAATAGCAGACACAGAAGGATACCTAAAATTTAGATGTGAAAGGTCACTTACAAAGTGATAATATGTGACAACCTGGGGTGAGAACTTGTTAAATCAACCTATTTTGTTGTTTTCTTTGAAGGACTTGTTAAAAGCTGAGGAAAAAGTTCGCTCCATAATGTACCTTTAAAGTTTAAAAGTAATAGGGTATACAAGTTTGCATTATCAATGCTTTATGCAGCAGGTTACAGGGTTTCTGACTTCCTCTTTCATAATGTCAACAGAACAAAACTCACTCAGTGTAGATGGGGAAGATCCTTTGCTGCAAATCACACAATCATACAGTCACCCTCCATCTGCTGATCCAATCGAAGCCAGTCACATTACATCCTGGTGATTAATCTCGGCAGCAGTGACAGACATACTTACCCTAGATCAGATCCTCACCATTTAGAATTATCACATACAGGAAGAAAAAAAGGACTTTTGCTCTGGAGACAGGTCACTAATCCTCTGTGTGATCACAGCTCACTTCCTGCCCGTGAATTTCTCTTTAGGAAGATTTGACTTTTCATTCAGTGATGAACGATGGAGCAATCTCTGACATTGGATCTGGATTAGAAAACGAAGCCTGGAGTCATTTCTCAAATGGAGGAATCTCTGATACACCAGAGGCTCAGTGCTGTTTTCTGCTCCATCTTAAAGCTGCTGGAGGATGCTTTGCTGCTGCTGTTGTTCCCTGCACTTCCTCTTGTGTTTAATAAACCTGCTCCAAACTTACAGACAAGCTTTCATTAATTTTCTGCATAAGTGGATACAAAGCAAATTTCAGAAACAGATTGATTGTACAAAAAATCATCAAAATGATGCGTGACACGTTCGTTGTAGGTTTGTCATGATAACGTTTGTTTTGATGTTTGGTTTTGTGTTTGGGATATTCTGTGTTTTTTCTTTTTCCCCCTCCCTTTTCTCTCCCTGGCAGTGTGTGTGCAGCTGAGAGTGTGGCTGGCCGGCTCTTCATAATGAGGCACACCTAGTGTTCACTCAGTAATCACTCCTGCAATAAAGCCTGGTCAAGACGCCACTCCTGTGCCAGATTATCCCGCCTCAGTCGGTAACATAGTGGCTCCAGTCTTTTGTGAAAAAGTGAATTTCGTGTTTTTTCGTCACTCTTAAGCATTCTTTGTTTTTGTGCAGCTGCTGGTGTGCCTCCTGCCGTACCTGATTGCAGCTTCCAGTGCTTCAGTGTCTCCGCATGCTGAGTCCGTTCCAGCAATGCCAGCCAGCCCTCTGCTGCCTCCATTTGCCCCTTTTTTCTGATTTTTGAGCTTAGTGTTTTTCAATAAACACTTTGAACTGTTTCATCGCTTCCGTCTCTGCATTTGGGGTCCAAACACAAAACCTAAACATAACAGAATAATCTGGCCAAGACATGGACCCCGCGGAGACAGACAGATTACGACAGGCTCTATCTACTCAAGGCGCTCCACCACCAGTGTTACTCAGCTCGGCGGTCGCTTGGATCAGGTCGTCACCCAGATCTCCAGTTTGGCTTCTCCCGGGGATCCACG